CTACTTACATTCAAATCAACTAAAATTGATATAGCAAGATGCCAGTCAAATCTCAGAATAACCAATACTATAAGAACCACATTTTTCAGAATAATAAACAATTTTAATATTTATTGCTATAAACGCGTTTTTTAATTTACCCGGTAAAAAGAAATAAATTGTGCAGTCCTAAAATGTTCGTTTTAATGAGATTTGACCTGCATTTTTCAAATATACGATTATTTACTAGTTCTCTTTGTGAATTGGGTCCATAGTAAAAATAAAATGAGCAATTTTTTTCGTACGTGTGACTCTCTGTACAAATAAATAAATATCGTAAAATAGCAGTGCCTGATGCTATTAAAAGAGATCGGTGCATGTATTCTATTCATATTTAACTTTACAAAGCCATATTTATCCTCAAGTACTGTAATTTTACTTATTTATGAATTAGAACTTAGTAAACCTAGCTTGCTTGTGGTGATTTAATAATTGATAATTGACTTTTTCCACAATGATTGGGCTTGATAAGGCCACCGGATTTAACATAGCCTTCCCTCCCAAAAGGCTATCTCATCCAGGGTAGACTTTAGGTTCGACTTCTCCTATCTATCATCACCACCCTTAGCAGGATTTGATACCGGATTATGAGTATCGTGGTGACATTCATAATCTACTACATAGCTAAGTGTGATAATGTGCTGCAGGACAGATTGGACATTCAAGAAAAGCTAGGTCTCTTAAAATCACATGCATCATCATCACATGAAGTAAGTAGTATTCAAGGAGAATTACTGCTAGTCTCAAAAACTACTTACTTTGTAAATAAATAATGTGCTAAATTTCAGCGGCAAAAGCGTGCTTGCCTAAATGATGACCTCATTATTAATTTGATTTAATTGCTTTGAATTTCTTAACTGCCCTGTAACCTAATATCATGCTTTAATATTTTGTGGGGGGGGGTAACGTCGTTGTGATGCTCATGACTCGGTGTCGAATATGACTGGAAGTGTTGATAAGCCGATTTAGCGAAGTAAAAATTGCCGTATAGTCCAGTATAGCCTTTTAGGAGGCAAAGCTGATTGGGGAAAAGCCCAACTATCAGTGTTTAAATCACCTTAAGTGACCTAGACTGACAAAATTTATATTCAAAATACTACTGATAGTGCTGAGCACTACTTACTTCCAAAATAAATTATCTATACTGCTTTGTATTTTGTATTTGCCATTGAGCTCACCTCAATTTGTTCCTCCATCATCAGCTGATAGCTCTCCATCATCACTTGAAATTTATCCCACTTTGTCCGTGTGGTCATTACAGCCGGCACACCATGTCCTGCAACAGAGCGCAACAGTCGATCCTTGCCTTCGGCACAGGTCAATTGGTTCAGCAGGTGCGACTGGGCCTTTGAGAGTTCTCCGGCTCTAATCTGGGCTGCGGTCAACTCATCCAGGGATTGCGGCTGACGACTGAGCTGATCAAGTGCCTCTACAAATGCAGGATGACAAAAGGTTTGAAGACAGATGGACCAAATCGATGGGTATGAAGATGTTCGACCGAGGAAGATGGGACAACGTATGTCATTCACGCATATTTTTACCGTATGTGAGTTAGTAATTGTGTTTTTGTTGTTTTCGGGGGTTGAATGCATTCGTTTGATGACGATCAGATGATTAGAGTATGGAATGACCAATCAGCGCAAAGTAAGGAGTAAGTAATGATGAATTTACTCTACTCGACTGCTACCTGATCTCTAGTCTCGATTAATCGTCACAGTCCGCTTAGACCGTCAACCAATTTACCCATCAGGCACACATACTACTCATACCTATCACCCTGACTCTTGCATCCCAACCGTTGACTAATCAAACTCTCGCCAGCCGTACTGTGCCTAACACTGGGCTCACCTAATACAAATGAGTCAACCGTCCGGCCAAGATCAAAAGCTTCCATCTCTCTCTCTACCTCATTGCTATTTTTAACATTTTTATGTCCGTATCGGAGGAAATTCCTGTTGTATGGCCATTCAAGCATAGGAAGGTTCGTGTTACAACGTTTTAACCAAACCAAGATTTCCTTCGTTAGTCTACAATTTCGCTACTGCGCCACCGAGTCAGTACTTTGTCAGTGCGATGCACTTTCAATCACTTCAGCAGCACTTTTTCTCAATTGGTCATTTCGCCGATGGATAACGGAAGCATTTGACTCTTCGAAAGCCAGAAGGTCCCCTACATGCCTCGAACTTAACTCTTGTGGCATATACTTTTGATATCATACTTAATGTTTTATTTGATTAACTACTTCAAGTATTATAAACGGACTTGGAGTGACACATTTAAGAGAAGGGTCAAAAAGAACCAAGAATTTTTGAGGATAAACAGAGCGGAAGAAAAATTCATAAATATACAAAACTACTGGGTCAAATTTGTAACTTTATTGGCTACTTTTTGAACTTTATAGCTAAGTCAACTAAAGTTTATGGAGCCAAAGTGATCTAACTCTAAATATCATGCACATTGTATACCATAGACAAAGGTATCAATGTCTTCCTTTATCCATGTTTTACCTATCTTTTTCAAAACATATCAGGAAAGTAACAGTAACATGCTATAATATTTGCCAACTGTTTGTTTTATCCTCATCTTATTTTTAAACAGTGTGAAATAAATTACAATGAATTCTAGTTGATAATTGCTTTGAACAAAATTTTTTATTAAACTTTCTAACAGATCATCATCAATTATTTATGTCTTCCAGACTCAGTCTTGTTTGAATCATTGTTTTAATAACTCTGATTTGCCCCCCATAAGTATGGCTATAAAAAGGATTCGTCTTTATGTGTTTACCCATCATATCCTTTCTTGGTTCCCTATATACTAATTAGCAGATTAACTAAATGAGACTTAACATATCTTTCTATAAACATAATTAATTCAGTCCTTCCATCTATACACTTCACTAACTCCTAAATTCTTATAGGATGCTCCATATTACCAAATACCAAATACCTTCAGCAAATAAATTAAAAGTCTATTTACCAATCCCTCCCGTCAAGTGAAGTCGAACTTTTGACCAGTTGTTTCCGAAATAGTAGTGGTATCTCTCCTTCTGTCCTAGGCTATTTACCTATCCCATATCCTCGTATCATGCCTTTACTATTACAATTTCTTATTTGCTTATTTAAAAGTAGTATGGTGTGCCCTTTTGAGCGGATTTCATGAGACCTATTCACACCCCAGCCCCCTACCGTTGAGCTGGCAAAGTTAATCTGAATCTGCCATATTATTCCGCAATCCTCATTCCATAAGTCCTATCAGAGTCTCCCTCTTGCCTGGTAGGATCCGTCTCCTATTTCCATGGTTCAAATATTCCACTTAACACCTGCCACGTGATTTGCCACACTGCCCCAAGCTTTTGATGCCACGTATACTTCCACCTGACTGAGTATGCCCACAAATTCAGGACTTCCAAGCTGGATTGGACACTAACTTGAGGATATAGATCCCAAGTAATTATCATCAGCAAACTTTTGCTTCATTGGCAATGTCTATGATCAAACACGTCAACTTTGATTGGGGGGACTTACATGTCGTATAAAAGTGCTTGAAGAAGATATTCGTATGTCAAATAACACCAGTAGAGGAAAGCTGAATCCCGTTGAGCTGTAGCCGTTTAGCTTTTATAATACGTTCAGGTTGACTCAGTCCACAAAACCTCCTCTCTGGTTTTGGGTGAAAACGGGCTCAGCCAGTTTTATCTGTTGAGACAAGGGAGGTCTCGTGGACTGCGCCAACTTGAACGTATCATAAAAGCCAAACGGCTGCGGTACAATGGGATTCTGCTGTCCTCTTCTGGTGAGATCGAATTTCGAAGCTCTTCTTCATGAACTTTCATGCAGAATAAAAGTCCCCGCAACAATGTTATCCCAGGAGTTACTCTTCGTAATTACGTCTACTGTTAGCCAATGAGCCCTAGTCTCCGCTGCATCTATCCTGTTTCTATCCTTAGTGCCAAGTCTATGACTTCCAATGCCTTAGTCTCTTGTGTACCAACCACAAATGTTATGGTTCTACCTGTTTTGATGATGCTCACTCTAATAGTCTCCTCTTGGATTCCGATTGTTCCTTTCTGGTCTCCTTTTTCTAAAATTAAAAGTATTACCTTTTTTCAGTCATCTTCTTTTTGCTGATAGTATTGTTGCCTACTCTTCTCAGAGTTTTCTTCGACAATATATAAAAGTTTTCGTTGATTCCGCCTTTTTCGAGTCCATTGTTCATTAGATTTATCTCGGTCAGTATATCGATGACTTCTCGGATCTTGTGTTCTCTTGTATTTTCATAATATGTAGCCAGCTTTTCTATCGATTTCCGGTCGATTTCATATACTCTCCGTGCAATGTGCTCCGTTATTTCTGATCTTTCCGTATCCATGCTTCTGCAGAGTCTTTGCTGTTCCTTGATTCGTATACTGACTTTTATAGCTGTTTCATCGACATACTTCTGCTCACAGTTTCCGCATTCGATGCGATAAACTCCCGAGAAATCCACTTTGTCCATCTTGTTGTGTTGCGTCGGCAGAGAAGTGCAAAGTGTTTTCTTTTCCTTTGTCATTACCTTAATGTTCCATTTCCTTAGTAACAGTCGCAATTTTTGACTCAGTTCAGATAAAGGCAGGAAGATCCACTTTCGGTTGTCCTCCTGATTCCTGATAGGATTTTCATAAAATCCGAGTTAAAATCTGCTATTTATACCCTCTTCATTTTTTCTATGAATTTTCTGGGGTACCCGTTACTAGGGCAAATCCGAGTCAGTTTGTCCAACTCCTTATCCCAGAACTCAATGTCCGTTAATCGTAAGCTTCTGATTATCCGACTTCTCAGTATTCCGATCTTCAGTTTGTAGTTATGTAGAGACTGAAAATTAAGGATTATTCCCACATCGTCATTCCTTCAATATGGTCACCTCATGAGTGTACCGTTGGAGCGCATGACTTAAATAGTCAGAAAGGGTAGTCGTTCACCTCCTCGACCTCCATTGTGAATTTAATTCTTTCATCATGTTGGTTAATAAAATTGATAAAATTAATCAAATTCTTCTTACTATGCGACCAAAAGGCAAAGTAGTCATTCATGTACCGCTTAAATATTCTTGGTTGCAGCGATGACTTCTCGAAATCTTTTTCCAATTTGTCCATGTATGCATTTACCAAAAGCGTTCA